TCGCAAAAATCGCCACAATTTTGATGGGAGGAGCGGCTCGTTTGCACGACGTATGAAACAAAGAACTTACGTTATTATTTTAATTCCATCAATCATGAGAACTCAAATAAATCGGCCATGACATGAAACGCAAACAGAAAACTATTGTACAAAGAACTTACGTTATTATTTTGATTTCATCAATCATGAGAACTCAAATAAATCGGCCATGACATGAAACGCAAACAGAAAACTATTACATGGAAGTTATGTCCGGAACCGCCATTCCTGACCTAACGGAAAAAAATAAAGAAAAAAAATTCTGTTTGACACAGCTAAGTACGAAGTCAATGGCTCAGACTGATATAGCTCAATGGACCTGGCGCTAAAAGCGTTGAATGACAAAGCCTATGGCCTATAATAGCATAGCCTCAAGGACCTGACGCTTTGAGTGGTGGATGGCCTAGCCTATGGCATGAAGTGACATATTCTCGTAGGCCTCGGGCGCTGGGGTGGCAATCACTACAACTATCGGGTTATTCAAATTAAAGTATATGATGGCTTAGAAAGGCGCAGTCTTGTAGGCCTGGCCTACAACCCAGAATGACATTGCATCTTAGGCCTTTACGTCGGGGTGACAGCCACGACCATCACCACCACAGCTTTTGTCCTCTTCGAAATAAGGTATTAGACTTGCGGCCTGCGGCCGCTACGCTGGCCGTCTAGTATGTGGTTATTTGTATCGTCTATTGTGACCATAACGTCCTCTTGACAATCCTCTGTTCATTGCTTTACCCATTCGAAACTGAACCGCTTCATTACATTTATCTAATACTAGCAAGTTTATTTCCCCTTCGGCCATGAATTTCTAAGGGAGATGTTTTCACAATTTCTTTTACATTAGTTCAACCGATGGACATGGAAAGCTGTAACTTAGTATGAAAGTGACCTCCAACATAAGGAGTTAAAGAAACATGTTAAGTCTTGATACATCCCCGGTGGAAAAGTTCACGAGGAGCGAAAAAAGAAGAAATTGTCGTAGCGAATTGGACAGAAATGGAAAGGTGAAACTTGGCACAGGTATAAGTGACGTGATATTATTGAGTTTAGGGAGTATTCAGCTTTCATTGTGCATCCCCTCCAGGCATAACTTTCCGGTTGGTCGGCTTTTCCAAACATGATGTTTCAACAGCGAAAAGTGCAAATGTATAATATTGAAACTTTGTGGGCATGCTGTTCTCTGAGGTTTGATTTCGATAGAAATGGTACTTTTTGGTGAAAACGCCTGAGGGCACATATTTTGCAAATTTCCATGAATTTTCTCATCCAGCAAAACAGAGGGTGCTAGAAAGTTTAAACTTGGCAAAGATGTACCTGATGAATAGCTGAGTAAAGAAACAATTCTACTTTCCTTTTATATATAGATGATCGTGAGTAGCTGACTGACATATGTAGCTATTCACATGCTGAGTTCAGAAAAAATTATACTTTGGTGATACACGCCATAGGGGCACATCTTTTTGGGAACATATTTTCAAATAGTTCTCTTTGCTTCAATCAAACGGAGACCCATGGAAAGCCTTAACATGGCAAGGACGTGACTGGTGAAGCACTCAGCTCAAATGTCAAATGTCAGTCTTCCAAAATATTTTTGGGGAAACGTATGACGCTGAAACTGGGTGGCATGGAGTTCCCTGATTCTATATTTCAGAATAATAACAAATTTCGTTTTAAAAAAATCAGGACACTTTTTTTTAAGTCCCATTTTCGTGAATTGTTTTTCGATCGAACGAAACAGAAAGAGAAAATTTAAAATTCCCTTAGAAGTACCTGTTTGATGGCTGAGTAGAGGAGAAGAGGAGAAATCCTAATTTTTAAATATGTATCCTTAGCGTAGATTATTGGAGGGAAGTTTTTCAAAATGTATTCTCCACCCTTGCAAAAAGGGACAGAAGAACAGATTTCAAGTTAGGCACACAGAATCATAGAGGTAATGATTTTGATGAAATAAATGAATACATTCGACCCCATGTGTCACCTATTTCAATGGGGACGCACTTTAAATACGTGTTTCCCATTTCGCAAAAAATGAATGAATTAATCACAATCCAAGGTATGGCAGCGCCGAAGGCGCGACCATGGCGAGTTTTTTTGCCCGAAGTGCAAAAACACTCGCTAGTATTTACATATAGCTTACAGTACACAGGGATATTCTGCTCCTAAACACCATCAGCATGATATTCGAGCTGAATGTCACAATCGCCGTTGTGAACGTCTTGGTTTAGCACTTTTTCGTGGCTGATTTCATCTTCCCAAAATATTCAACACTCTTGCATCACCGATTAACTCATCGGCTATTAGCGTTGGCGTATGGTACAGACATCAATGATTCTGAAACAGTAGGGACCTTTTCCAAGAAATTGTTCGATGGCACAGAGGGAAGTAAGTGCACGTGCGGCACAATGCTAAAGACTAATTCCTGAAAATGCCAACCTTGCATCAAATTTCTTAGCAGGCTTCAGGGCTCTCTATTCCCTATTTCGAAGCTCAGCATTCATTGGCTCTTGCTGTTCAGTGGTCTGAGCGGCCCTAAGCTCTACACGTACATGTGCTTCCTGTTTATCACCGATTCTAGCCATTGCGGCTAGCACCGTTTTAGGCACTTCGTAGTGCAACTGCCGTGAACAAGTTTCAATTAAGGTTTGAATATTTCAATTAGCTATACTCACATGTTTACACTGAATTTGGCCACTATGTTGCGTATTTAGGTGACTCATGGCAGTTATTTTCCAAATTTGCCCAAAGCACAAAGAAAATTCATGTGACATTGTAAAGCGTCCCCTTTATTCGAGGAAAAATACATCCGACCACATCAATTTCTGTACAAGCCCTCCTCAGGCATGCAGACAATCGAGGTACAGCATGGCATGCCTTTGTCAAGTCCATCTTGTTTTAAGGAAATTTCACAGCGTGAAGCCATCTGTCAGGCGTTTTCATGCTATGTGTATAATGAGTCCGTTGATCTCCTTTTACATTCAGTTGTCAGAAAAGCAATTTTTGGCCTTTCTTGAGTCTGATGAAGAAAAACAGGAATGTGTTTTAAATGGGGCAAAAATGAGGTCATTATATCAAGAACTATTATATGTTGATTGCATGGCTAATGGGAAGCAAGGTTGATGACCTTCAATTCTTCTCCCAAAGGGAATAGGTGCCAAATGGCACTAGTTCCTTTTGGTCTATCGTATGGTAGTGCGCATGCTGCAGACCGAAGGGATTTTGTGCCATTTGGCACGTATCCCCTTCGTCCAGAGCATGTTATGGCGCCTGCTCTAGACTGAAGGGAAAAAGTGCCAAATGGCACTGATTTCCTTTGGTGTATGGTACATGATTCATACTAAAGGGAATCGGTGCCATTTGGCACCTTTTCCCTTTAGTCTGGCTCCAATTATTCCTTTCGGACAGCACATCATATGGGCTCCTTGAATAGCATAAATTCTTTCATGAAGTTCTTAAAATATCTCATTAAGCAGGAAATACGAACAAAATTAATGGAAGATTTTGAGTCAATAAAAAAAGTAGAAGAACTCTTCTTTGATGTTCAAAGTAATTCTTTCATTAAATTTGTGTAGCAACTTATTTGTTGCAAGGGTAATGCGGAAAAAATTAATTTGAAAAAGAGAAATTGTTCTAATGCATGGGGAAACAGAAACAACGTCATTATTTTCTAGACAAACAATGAACATTGAAATCATTCAAGAGCGTTCAATCAGTCAATCAAATGAAGATTTCTAGCATTTCATTTTGCACTTAAACACACATAGGTCAGAATCGATAACATTGGATTCGCACAAAAGGAGTCCCAAACACCACAAAAGTCTTCAATATCTTGGAATTGCAGATGTGAAGTGACGCAGGATGTTCACCGCCCTCCAAGAATGAGACTGAACTCTGCAACCCCCATCACCTTCACCCTCCATGAAATCACAGTCTGTTAGGGAGAAGGTTTATGGATCAATCATATTTTCCGATCTCTCAATATTATTTACTGTGAGATCTGGTATGGATCATGCAGAACTGACCAGCAAAATTTTTTCAAATTAAATTAAGTACAGCAGGGTCCTTTATGAATCCAACCTCATCAAGGCAAAAATGAATGTGCATCCTCTCCTGGTTTTGCCAAAGGGCCACATTTTCTGGGGGTGAAGAAGGCTTGCATATCATTCCCGAGCAATGTCTGGAGAGCCTTTTGCCTACCTGTGAGTAAATGGGGTCCAAGTTCTATTAGGGAAAATAATGTAAGAAGATGAGGAGGTATCACCAAGAATGAATTCTTCGAACCTTTTCCCAGGGATGAAATGGTGTTGGTCCTTCTGAAGAGCTGGTTCCTCAAGCCCTCTCAGTATAGCATGAGGGTTCGGTAGGAATGAAGTTCTTTACAAGCGAGGAGCATGGACCTACAGTTCAGACCAGCCAAGTTCGTTCGTCATCGAAAAACCCATCAGTTAGAGATGTCACAGGACCTGTCAAGATGAAAAAAATTCCTCATGAAAAAAATTTTCCTAAATGCACAAAAAAGCTAGTTTAAAATTTTTATTAAAAATGTTATTCCCCTTATCCACGTGTAGGGCTTCTTGTGGTCCCAATCGTGCTCGTCCTCGGTCGTCATTGGCCAAAGGAAAAATAGCAAATGAACTGTAAGATGAAAGGAAAGATATCATCTCCTGTTCTTGCAACATCTATGGCCTAATTCCTAGCACCTTATTTTAAAACAGTCTCTTTGCTAACAATGTAATGGAGATGCGCTTATTCTTTCAATTCATTATTCCCTAGGAATCTCGAATTACCAAGCTAAGTGAAACATACCGATAGTCTGGAGTGAATCTTGATTTTTGGTTTCTAGCAAATCTTCATCAAAGGCTCCCAATGTGTTATCTCCTAAACTGTCCATGCTATAAGAGAAGAAGTCATGCTTTATTGAATAATACCTGGAATATTTATAGTGATATTCAAATTAAAAAAAGCTACTCTGTCAGGGGTTCTTGCATAGTGTCTCTGACTTCCTGCACCTGAGGAATGTCAGGGCTATTATTTCTTGGGTCCAATCCCAACTCCAAATCGACCAATGACAGTAATTTCAACTGGGCAGGCAAGTCAACTGTTCCTGATTTGTTGATGAAATATGAGGGAACTTATTACCATCATTCTTCCATAATACCATGGATATTTTTGCTAATCAGAGTACATAGAATTACTCACGAATCCATCGGACACTGCATGAGATCCAACCCTGTGAATTTCCAACTGTGGATTCCAAGAACTCCTTCATTGTCACAATCGAGGTGCTCAGGGATATAAGACACTTGCTACCGATGATTGCCAGGGTATGTGTCCTGTGAAACAGCTCACCTGGAATTCATTAAAAGTTTATTTAAAATGATCAATATTAAACACAAGAGATAACAGAACCCTTTTGCAACCAATATGGTTTCACTTTGCACTTCAAATGACTTGCAATAAATTCCCCATGGGCTTGCTCTCCTAATGAGAACTAGAGTGTCAGTCTTGACATTCATACTCTTCATCCTCTCTTTTATTTGGCCAGCTTCTAATTCACTGTCCACCAGAAAAGCAGTTGTTATAAATGTTTCCCCTTAGAACCTGCATTGGTGAGCATGGAGTCCCAAAAGACATATTTCGGCTTCTTCTGCAGTCTATTAGGAAAGAATATAGTTACTGTATTTTTTAAAGTTACCCTTCCTTGAGCATGTTCAAAAGTCAGAAGATGGGAGATTCTCACCTGGACGAAAAAGACTGCTCCAACAAGAGGTTCATGGAATGAACTGTCAGGAATTTTCAATGGGTCTCCCAAGAGAATCTTCACTTCAGCACCTTCTACTCTATGCGATCTTTCAGTGACCTCCCCATCAATGAATGAACGAATATAGGCCTTCCATTCACCAGATTTCTCGAGGTCCTTCAGAGTCATGAATGGCTGGAATGCTTCATCTGTGACATGATCACGGTATGTCGCCATCACTTCCTCCTCACTCATTCCAGCATGTCTTTATAAGGAAAAGGACAGAATTGCATGATTAAAAATGTAATTGGATATTGATAAAATTTTGAACTGCGATGATAAGGTGACACCTGATGAAAGATTGCAGGAGCTGCTTTTTTTGGATGACTTCTTCCAGTTTCTTCTCCAGATTTAATTGCATAATTAAAAATGTAATTGGATATTGATAAAATTTTGAACTGCGATGATAAGGTGACACCTGATGAAAGATTGCAGGAGCTGCTTTTTTTGGATGACTTCTTCCAGTTTCTTCTCCAGATTTTTGAAGTCGCTCCCACTCTTCACATGTTCCAGGTTTTCCTGTAAATTGAACAGATAACACATTGGAATTGACTCACATACAATGACAAATATGAATTTCATAATATTACATGTTTCTTCTCCAGATTTTTGAAGTCGCCCCCACTCTTCACATGTTCCAGGTTTTCCTGTAAATTGAACAGATAACACATTGGAATCGACTCGCATACAATGACAAATATGAATTTCATAATATTACACCACAATACTATGTGCAACAAATGGGAGCAGAATTAATATCAAGATGGCAGTGAATGATTATTGAAAGGCTTCATTGAGGGCTCAGAATATCGGCACAATTCAGCCCAAGGAGGCCTATTGTTAACCCGTTGCTACACGATGTCTGAAAGGCTTGAAGAAAAAGTAGGTTTCTTGTACATTTGCCTAAATTCAAAGAAATTCTGCAAATAGTCAAAATTAGATTATTTTAACTGGAATTTTGATTTTGCAAAATGGGAGAACTTTTCAAAGGAGATAAATTGCAACATGGAAGAATATTCTGCGTCAAATGAGCTTCACTTGATTTTATCTCAAAAACCACAATGTGATTCCTCCAAGAGGACGTCACTAGGATGAGTAAAGAATAAATCTAGTCAATATCTGGCTTGTTTAGCAAAGGGAAAAGCGGAACAA